TTTTTTTTGTCATTTAGTAGATATGTTCAGATATTTACATTCAAGAAAGATATATCTGTAAAATTTTTTCTGAGCCGATACATGTAATCAGTTTATATGAAATTTTCTTTCTTTAGCCTTTGAACGTGGGAAAAAACAAAACAAAACCAAAAAAAAACTGATGTTAAAATGCTTGGCCCTCAAGTCATTTTTCCTGGGGAAAAAATCTGTAGATAATACATTATTATTTTCTGGCATTAATGTAAAATCAGGATTAATTTGTTTTGTACCTGAGAAATAATCTCATTTTTATGCTTGATTGTTTCTAGGATTTTCTATATTCTTTATAATTTAAAAATGTCAGCACATGTCAGTATATACATATCTTTCTTGATATTATCTGGAAATTATTAGGTTTAATCTTATTTATTTATCCTTTATCTTTTTTTACCCATAATTGCCATTTTTGCACTTTTTTTGTATTTCCTATTGTGAAAGGTTCGTGAGACACATTTTGATGATACTGAAACATTATATACTTTGCAGAGATGCTGGTACATAGAAAGCATTAAGTAACATATTTAGAGTCACTATTCTCAGTCTTGGTGCTAATCCCAGAGTGTGGACTTATATGTGGATTTCTGCTTTGATAAAGTACTATGCACCCCCAAAGAATTTTAGGACAGGAGCATGGCATTTTTTGCTCTTGGCTCTAGTACTTGATGGCAGACCTTCCTGATACTTTCAGCATAGTACTATCTCTGCATATTGTGGCCCTCTGGATTCACCATTTCTAAGTTCCTTATGACTTTGGGGACAACTTCAAACCTCTTGCTAGATTTCTTAGGAAGCAGCTGTTGCCTGTGGCTGTTTCCTGTTGCCTGACTCAATACCCCACGTAGCTCTCTCAGTTGGTATGTGTAGTGCCAGCTTGTTCTCCTTCTGCTGTTGTTAAAATCTTCATGCCTGTCCATAATGTAAGATAAAATATGTCAAACCTGAACACCTATTAAGCACTTTACATTAGAGTAAACTATCACACATGTCATTATCTATACTAGACTGATTCCTTCATTAGTGAAATCTTGTTGTATATTTTTTAAAAAATTGGAAACTATTCCTCCTTTTCTAGTTACCACCCAAATTGCCTTATCGTTGATTAACCAATACTTATATTTACTAAACGAGAACTGAGTTACACAAACTATAGGTTTAGCATATGTTTTAAGTTGCCAGATTGACTTTAGTGACAATAATTGATTCAAGTCTCATCACTTTAGGCAGTGCCCCCCCACTCGGAAGCAGGCAAGAGTGCACACCAAAAACACCAATTCCATGCCAGTGGCCCACCACAGCCACCAGCACAGCCATGGCTGCTGCAAAAGCAGATCCAGGAGGCTCCAAGATCCCCAAACAGATTCAACCCAAAAATATCCTCTGGAAGTGCTATAGATTGGAAGGGCTATAGATTGGAAGCCACCTCCCAACCTCATTGAAGCTTAAATTCTCAGTGTGACTGTTAAGAAGGAAATCCTATTATGATAATCAAAAGGTGGGGGCTTGAAGAGGTGATTAGATTGTAGGACCATGCCTTAGTGAATGGATTAATAATGGTGGTCAGGGGTATAGTTCTAAGGGCTTTAAAAGAGCACATGAGAGGTTAGTCTTTCTCTGCTCTGTTATTTCCACCATGGGATACTCCAAGTCACTATCACCACCACCAAGACCCTCACCAAATCTGTTCCCTGCACTGTGGTCTTTCCAGCCTCCAAAACTGTAAGGAGTAAATTTTGTTTTCTTATAAATCACCTAGTTTCAGGTATTTTGTTAAAAGCAACATAAATGGACTAATACACCAAGACACATTATAGTCAAACTGGCA